TAAGAGGGGACAACGTGACGCGAGCATAATGTAATGTGTGTGTGTGAAGGCAGTGAGTAATTGAACTGCAGTCACAGGGTATTGTTGAAGTTAACGTTCGTTCGTGATACTGTTTGTTTTAGCGCGATTATTGAGATTAAGTGTATCGCAGAGTTATATTCGGAAAGAATAAACCAGTTTTATTAAGTAAAGACTTGTGTCGTTAAAATTTCGTCGGAACGAAGTTACGGAAAAAATCAATTAACAAACGGAGACGTAACAATATATATAAACATAACGGCTGGACCATCACTAAGCCTGTCGTGACCGAGCGGCCTGATGAACCTTGGTATTGTATGAAAGGTCTTCAAGAGATGTGGTTGACATGTTTTAACATATTCTTCTTAGAAGTAATAGTCAACTATAATTGAATAACAAAGCAGGAAAATACACCACCTTGGTTGAACGATACAACAATGATCAACCACGGTTCAATAACTCTGAGGAGAATTATTCGTGTAGTTTCAACCGAAGTGAAACGTGGGAAGTAAACGCAATGAACAGATATTATAGGTTTACCAAACTTTAGTCCTCCTGTTCTTTAATCGCTAAGACGGTTGCTAGCGATATAAGTCCGCAGATGTGCCACTGGGGGGCACATATATATAAATAAATTAATAAAGGCCTAGCCCCTGATGACAGCACACTCACCTGTCGGATGCGCTACATATTTTTGAATGAGGCTGATAGACTCAATTACACGCGCACAATTATGAATTTTTATTTAACTTTTCTCCAGCCAGTCCCCCTCCCTTCGAAACCTCTTATCCTAAGCTATGGAGCCAAAAACATGTTAACATTTTCTGGTATCAAAACTTGTCTCGTCCTTCTAGTGACATAGTCAGTTATCCAATTAGGTTTTAGTTTTGTTTATGTAATGTACTAAAAAACCAATTTTGTTTATGTAATGTACTAGAAAACCAATTTTTGTTTATGTAATGTACTAAAAAACCAATTTTTGTTTATGTAATGTACTAAAAAACCAATTTTTGTTTATGTAATGTACTAAAAAACCAAT